ATCGGTGTCGGCCAGGATCAGTACGATGACCTGGTCGGCACCTCATAAAAATGTAAGGATCGGTGTCGGCCAGGATCAGTACGATGACCTGGTCGGCACCTCATAAGAACAAAGGAATGGAAGAACGGGCTCAAGCGCGAAGCTCGACAAGGCCAAACCGCAATCCGACTCGGACAGGTAACGCGCCCTCACGAGTAACAAACAAGCGCCAGCTCAACCATGTAGCTCGGCCCCATAATTAATAAGCGTCGAGCCCAATCTCGAGGCTCGACCAAGTAACAAATAAGCGTCGAGCTCAATTGTGAAGCTCGAACGGGTAATGCGCCACCATAATTAGTGCGATAAATTGCACAAGCCAGGCTCGGCAAAGGGGCCCGGTTAGGCCAAAGCGCCCTGAAACTAAAAACCAAATTCCAAATGCAGTTCGGCCGAACAAAGCATGCAACAAGGTGCTCTCATTTGACATACATTCATCACATGCATTCATCATACGTTCACGCATTCCTCATATGATCGCATTATGCATGCATTATCGTAAGGAACAAAGAGCTCAAAGCTCAATCGAACAAAGAGCTCAAAGCTCACCCAGACAAAGAGCTCTAAGCTCACTCATGTCGACATAAAAGACATTCATGCATAAAAAACGGGTACCAAATCGCCCGACCAGGCCACACAGGCCCTATCCAATTCGAAAAGTCGTCCATTCACTCAAACCGACTCAACTCGTCAGAGATCAAGCCATGATTATCATCGTCACGTCAGGCCAAATCCTAAACAGATCAACAAGACGCTCAAGGGTCCCAAAGCACCCTAAAATTGCGTACTAAATCGCGATAAAATTATCATTTTTCGCCAAAAACTGACAAGATAAAAAGTGATCTCATGAATCACGCGAAAATTATCCGCCACTCGCGCTCATCTACATATTTGCGATCCCACCAATATCTCTCATTACGCGATATCCTAACACAATAAAAAGAGTCCGAAGCTCAAGGGATCTTGAGGTAAAAACATTGCCAAATTGTAATGATTAAACGCGACTTCAGAACAGTTCAATCAAGAACATGTCCTAAACTCGGGGGCCTCCTGTTGATACCCAATTTGGCTCCAATTAAATAAATGGTAAGTAATATAATAAAGAGCGACCCGATAACCAAGAAGCCGAAAATATATAAATATATAAACAGGTTCTCAAGACTAATCGCCCAAGAAGCCGACCGCGTCCCCACACGTCTCTGCCCTCTACCGAGCTGAGCGGAGTCCCGATTAATCGGTTAACACAGATACCGCGATTGCCGATAAAGTAGACGTCAATCAATGCCGTCAAAGGACGTCAGTGGGCCTTCCGGTTGTCATTACGCATTAAATAATTATGAACCATTTTTATTGGCCCACTTGTAAGTTAAGGCCATGTATATATATGAGAAGAGAGAGGAGAGAGAGGGGTTTCCTCATTTTTATTTTTTTTTCTTCCTACAAAACACAAAGAGAGAGAATAAAAATACCATCAAAATAATACAATAAAACACACATTTTCCATCATATTGTTCTTCAATTTCATACAAGTAATTCGACTCTTATTTAACAGTTGATCGTCCGATTTTCGACATCAACAGGCCTCTCTTGGGGTCTTGATCTATATACAGGTTGGGGATTCAGCCCAATCCCCTGCCCCTGGGGCGTTTATAAAAAAAAAAACCTAGCACCATCAGCCAATTAACCTAGCATGCTAGGTTATTTATATTTAATTGCAGGTTTAGTTGTCAACGGTCAACGCCGGAAGTCAAAGGATTTTCACCGGAAGTCAACGTCGGAGTCAACGGTCAACGCCGGAGTCAACGGGTCAAAAAATATTTAAATAATTAAAATAATAAAAAGAAAAGATTAAATCTTAGCCACACATTATGTACCAAATCTTGTGGCTAGAAATGAGCCTCACGTCCTAACTTTAAGAATGTGGATGTATTGGAACCAATCCCTATATA